CCCCCCCCCTCAGCCCAGCAGAAGCACGGGGTGGGGCAGGGAGCGTGGGACATCAGGCTGTCACCCCTACGAGGATTCACGCCACGTGGAGCTTCCCACAGCCCCCTCACACCACAGCAACGGCTGCAGGACCCCCCCAGAGCCGCGGAGTGCTCTCCGATCACAGGACTGCAACATACTTCCCCCCCCCAGCCCCAAACACACAACCTGGAGCGCGGGGTTTGGGGGCGGCGGGGGCCATACCTGGGTGACGAGCGGCTGCAGCAGCGCGGCGGAGCCTTTGCCCACACAGCGCACGGCGAAGCGCAGGCACCGGCAGCACCGCTCCACGATGCGGTTATCGGCACTGTGTTTGTTCAGGGTCTCCGACAGCACGGGCCAGATCTGAGAGCACATGGAACCAGCTGGGTTGGAAAAGCCCCTGCAGCTCCTCCAGCCCCACCATGACCCTCCCCCTGACCGTTCCCAACTCCCCCAGATCCCTCAGCGCCGGCTCAGCCCGACTCTTCAACCCCTCCAGGGATCCCGGGGACTCCCCCCTGCCCTGGGCAGCCCATTCCAACGCCCAACAGCCCCTTCTGCACAGAAATCCTTCCTCAGAGCCAGCCTGACCCTGCCCTGGGCAGCCCATTCCCCAAGCCCAGGGCTCAGATCCCTTCCCTGTCCCTGCTGGCCACGCCAGTGCTGACACAAGCCAGGATGCCGTTGCCCTCCTTGGCCACACTGCAGGCTAATTACCAATCACCCCCCGGTCCCTCTCTGGCTGAGAGAAGGGTGAAAGCTGAACCACGATACCTCCCTCCTACCCCAAAACAAACGCAAATCCCTGCTACTGTCAAGCAACCACCACTGGGGTCCTGAAAACAAAAGGCACCCGCGTTACAGGACGTGTAAATTAGCTTTAGGTAGGAGCGAAGACCTCAGAGTGGCTTAACAGTCTGCCAGTGTCACAAGGGCAGGGAAATAAAAGCGCTGGGGATGCTTCCAGAGCCAAGTTCCCCCTTTCCAGGGGTCTGAGGAGCCGAGTCCCACCCCATCAGCCATCCCTGCTGACAGGTGGAAGGTGCTTCTCCCCAACACCGCACCCACCCGGCAGCCAGGGACTGCAGCCCAAGCCATCGATCCCTCCCCCTCCAAATCCAGAAAATTCCTTCCCCACATCGGGACCCACTTACTTCCTGAATGACTTTTTGGCACGGATGGATCTGTCCGTTTTCTACAATGGGGTTGGTGTGTCTGTGAAAAGCAGCGGAGGGTTAATGCTGGTTTTTCTACACTGTCAGGTTTTAGTTTAAAGCCGAGGGGTTGGAGGCTGCAGGACGAGGAGCTGAAACGTGGTTTAAGAGGGGTTGGGGAGCCTTGAGCTTGAGGAAGAAGCAGCTTCCAGCCCGTTCCTCCCAGGGCCGGGGGGAACAACGAGCCATCACGGACTTGGTTTTAGGCCTCTGGGTGAGCAGCTCTGACCCACACCTGGGCTGTGCCAGCCCCTCCGCCCTCACCTGAATATGACAGCGAGTCGATCCAGGGGCACAGTAGGGTCTGAGGAGAGGCCATTGCTTGGCTCCTGAGAGAGCAGCTGAAAAACAAGGGAGAACGAGGGGATTTCAGGACCTGAGAAACACCAAAGCCTGGAGGCCAGAGCCCCCCAGCAGCCTCCCAGCATCCCTGCTGGGCCAGAGCAGAGCAGACGCCTCCTCCCACCTGGGCAGCTCCTGCTTGTCCCCAAAAGACCAGAGGACACGCAGATCCCTCTGCTGAGAGGTCCCTCCCCCTGCTGCCACCCCCACTGAGATTTCTGCTCTCCCTACCCTGGATCAGCACAGAAAGGTCACCAAGGCCACCAGAATGGGATGTTTGGGGGCCCCGTGTTCCACAGGGAAGTTGACTTCCCACGTTCTCCACCCCAGAGACGCGGGGTGAAGGTGTTTGAGGGGGTTCAGGTGGCTCCTGCTACATAAACTTGTTTCTAGGGGCTGTTTCTCTCCCTGTTTTATTAGCGGTGACATATTTCTCAGCCAGGAGAGACTTTGGGACGAGTTTGGTCTCGGTGCTGGACTCCTCCAGCTTCTGAGGACACACAGTTCCCACGGTAGATCAAACCACTGTGCAAAGACAGAGCCACGGCAGCTTGACCCCAGAGTGGTGTCAGCCAAGGGGCCGGCGAAGGTGGCTCCGAGCAGGACGTACCTTTTTCAGCGCCATCACTTGCACGGCGCAGAGTTCGCTGAGGCATTCTGCTATCTTCTCCAAGGGGAGCCTGGCGAGGACCAGGGCTGTCCCTGAAAGCAAGAGGAGACGGGCTCAGGAGCAGGAAGGCAGCGCCCGAGTGCGGTCGGACACCGGACAGGTCCTCGGACAGGCCCTGCCTGCAGCCGTGTGCAGGCAGAGAGAAGGCAGGGACAGCTTCCCGAGACTGGAAGAGGTTCACAGAACCCCAGCACCATCCGGGTTGGAAAAGCCCCTGCAGCTCCTCCAGCCCCACCATGACCCTCCCCCTGACCGTTCCCAGCTCCCCCAGATCCCTCAGCGCTGGCTCAGCCCGACTCTGCAACCCCTCCAGGGATCCCGGGGACTCCCCCCTGCCCTGGGCAGCCCATTCCAACGCCCAACAGCCCCTTCTGCACAGAAATCCTTCCTCAGAGCCAGCCTGACCCTGCCCTGGGCAGCTTGAGGCCATTCCCTCGGGGCCTGGCGCTGGCTCCTTGGCTCCAGAGACTCATCCCCCCTCAGGAGGGAGCCCAGGGCTCAGATCCCCTCCCTGTCCCTCCTGGCCACACCAGTGCTGACACAAGCCAGGAGGCCGTTGGCTTTCTTGGCCCCCGGGCACGCTGCTGGCTCCTGTTCAGGTGCTGGTCAGTGAGAACCCCCAGACCCTTCTCCCCCAGACAGCTCCAGCCACCCCTCCCCGAGCCTGTAGCCACGCAGGGGGTGGTTGTGGCCCAAGGGCAGGACCTGGCACTTGCCCTTGCTGCAGCTCATCCCGCTGACGTTGGCCACCGATCCAACCTATCCAAGCCTCTCTGCAGAGCCTCCCTGTCCTCGTGCCGATCGACCCTCCTGCGTCACTCAGTGTCACCCGCGCACTGCCTGACGACACACTCTGTGTCCTTAGCAAGATCATCAATAAAGATGTTGTACAGAAACGGCCCCAACCCCGGGCCCCGCGGCCACCACCTGTAACCAGCCACCAGCTGGATTTAGCTCCACTGACCACCGCCCCCTGGGACCGTCCACAGGCAGTGCCCGACCCGGCAGACCCTTTGCTCCTCCAGGCCACGAGCAGGCAGTTTTTCCATGAGAATTCTGTGGGGAACTGTGTCAAACGCACCACTGAGCCCCAACGCGGCTCCCTTTGCACAAGCCCCGGAGCTGCCCCGTCGTTTAAAGGTTTCAGAAACACCCGAATCCATCAGGAATCTTTGCAGCCTGGACACGAGTCCTGCACGGCCACGACCCAGCCGAGGCTGAAGAGGCAGACGCTGCCCCAAGGCCCGGTGAGAAGCGAACGCTCCGACGGCAGGCAGACCGCTCTCATTGATAAACGTGGTTATCAGGGGAGCTGAAAAACTACATTCCTGTGCCCAAACTGTCTCTAAACCGACAAATAGTTGCAATTTTCCCTCCTGTGGGTACAGTGGCTGATTTCCAAGTGCTTGGATATGGCTGAAACTCACCGCTAGCTTGGCCGTGAGCACTGCAAATGTTTTTTTCCTGTATTTCAAGCTGAGAGCAGGGATGGAAACAAGTTAAAAACCCCGAAAGGATCTTGTTCTCCCTCCTGCCCCACGTGAGCCCCTGAGAAGACTAAATGTGGCTGCGTGGAGCACCTCGGGGTGAACACAGACACTCATCTAAGTACAAAAAGGTGTGAATACGGGGTTGTGGCACCCGTGGTGAGCGACCCGCTGACAACGCAGGGAGTGTTTTTCCACACGCACCTTTCAGGAGCCCCACAGCAGCCTCTGGAGAGAGCGTGAAGGAGTCGAGGGAACGGGCTATCTCCAGCAGCCCGTTAAAGTGCTGAGCCATGTGGTCCCGACACACCGAGCAGATATTGTGGATGGCTTTGGCCGCCGCCGAGGCCAACCGCCTGTCGCACAGCCCCTTCATCAGGTAACCCAGCACGGGATCTGCGAAGGAGAAAAACGGGGTGAAAAGGGGGTTCCCGGGGAGCAGGTTGGCCGCAGGGCGGCGGGGAGGGGAGAGGCTCACCCAGGAACTGCGGGTTTCTGTCCACCACCTCGCTCATCTCCCCCACCAGCTCGATGCTGGTGTAGCGGACGGCGGTGTGCACCGTCTCGGGGAGGCGAACCACCCCCTCCAGCACCTCCACCAGTGTCGGGTTGTTCTCCCTGAGGGGGAAAAAAAGCAGCTGGTTTAGCCCCAAGGTGGCTCCTGGACGGTTTCCACGGAGTAGCTGGTTTTGTTGAACCGGATTCGATGGATCGAGGCACCCTCAGCGAGTCCCCTGATGGCACCGAGCTGTGTGCTGTGGTGACACGCTGAGGGAAGGATCCATCCAGAGGGACCTGGACAGGCTGGAGAGGGGGGACGTGCAAACCTCAGGGAGTTCAACAAGGCCAAGGGCAAGGTCCTGCCCAGGGGTCGGGGCAATCCCCAGCACAAACCCAGGCTGGGCGAGGAGGGGATGGAGAGCAGCCCCCAGGAGAGGGACTTGGGGGGTTTGGTGGATGGAAAACTGAACATGAGCCAGCAATGTGTGCTGGCAGCCCAGAAAGGCCCCGTGTGCTGGGCTGCACCCAGAGCAGGGTGGGCACAGGGCCAGGGGGGGATTCTCCCCCTCTGCTCCGCTCTGGGAGACCCCCCTGCAGGGCTGGGTCCAGCTCTGGGGCACCAACAGCAGAAGGACACGGACCTGCTGGAGCGGGGCCAGAGGAGGCCACGGAGATGCTGGGGGGGCTGGAGCCCCCCTGTGAGGACAGGCTGGGAGAGTTGGGGGGTTCAGCTGGAGAAGAGAAGGCTCCGGGGAGACCTTAGAGCGGCCCCCCAGGGCTGAAAGGGGCTGCGGGAACGGGGGGGACTCGTCAACAGGGCAACAGATAGGACGAGGGGGAACGGGGTTAAACAGACAGAGGGGAGATGTAGATGGGATCTGAGGCAGAAATTGTTCCCTGTGAGGGGGGTGAGGCCCTGGCACAGGCTGCCCAGAGAAGCTGTGGCTGCCCCCTCCCTGGCAGGGTTCAAGGCCAGGCTGGACGGGGCTTTGGGCAACCTGGGCTGGTGGAAGGTGGCCCTGCCCGGGGCAGGGGGTGGCACTGGGTGGGCTTTAAGGTCCCTTCAACCCAAACCATCCTGTGATTCTGTGAAACCCTTGAATTTGGGGATTCTTGTTAAGGAATGAGCTCTTCAAAGAACTCAGGTGATTGATAAAACATTCCTCCTTTCCTGAAACATCTGCCACACATTTTAAATTTTGGTAAGATCATGTTTTTTTTCTTTAAAAATTAAAATGAATGTTTCATTTTTCCAAAACACTTGAAACCTGAAGTGAAAGGTGGCCCTGCCCGGGGCAGGAGGGTTGGTACGAGATGGGCTTTAAGGTCCTTTCCAACCCAAACCATCCTGTGATCCCACGATTCTATGAAAGTCCCCGGGGAGGCAGAAGAGATCTGAGAAGGTCCAACTGCTTCGAGAGCTCAGCCCCGGGGCTGCAGAACTGCCCCTCAGCCAGGGGTACTGCTCTGCTGCAGGACAGACTGCACAGGCTAAGGATTATCTGTCATACAGTGTGGTTTCTAGAAGTTTCCCCCTGGGAAAGGACCTTCCTAGGAGTATCTTTGGGATAGTGGTGGTGTCTCTGCCAAACTGGCTTGGAGGCCAGGCCAGGCCCTCGTGGCCACGTGCAGGATGCTCGGCACTCACTGGTCGACGCTCTTCGCGATGGAGGCCATGATGAAGAGGACGGCTTCCGTCACCTCCCAGGGCGGGTTCCCGTCCTTCAGAGTCGCGTAGAGCTGCGAGGAAGGGAACCAGTCACAAAAGAAGCCACGAACGCAACCCGAGGGGGTGAATCCCACCCCGCTCCCTCACCTCCTCCCCCCTGCCGCGGGCCTGCCAGAGCCCTGGTGTTCCACAGCCCACCCCGATGGCCTTGGGGACCAGAGAATCGTTTCCCCACGATGCGACACCTCCTTCCAGACACGGGTGCTTCCCTGCGCACGAGGAGGTGCCACACGTGGCCTCCTCCCCACCCTGAAAGGCCACCAGGGCTTGGGCTACCTCCTGCCACGGCCCCGCAAGCCCACCTGAGCAAAACATTCCACCGAGCCCACCAGGAAGATCAGATCTTTCACCAGGTCCGAAACCCGCATCCGGAATTCCCCAAAATCATCCGTTTCCTCTGGGACACCCTCCTAAGAGAGATGAGGGAGAGAAAAAGGGTGAGAGCAGCTCAGAGAAATCCAGGTTTCCCCCCACCCGACCAGAAAAACCGAACAATTCCACTCTAGAGGCGAGATCCCCGGTTCCTGCCCTCCTCTCCCCAGACCAAGCTGCTCGAGGGAGAGTCCTGCACAAAGCCGACACACTGCGTGTTCCCGCTCTGACAGGCAGGGGAAGGGGTGGAAATCAAGGGGGCGAGGAGCCGAGGAAGGAGGATAAAGCTCCCAGATCCCCAGGAGGGAGGTGACAGCCCTGCGTTCGCCACCTGCACCACCTTTATTCCAGCCAAAGCCCCCCGGGCAGGGGACGAGGTGTCTCTCGGCAGCGCTCAGAGCCCGGGGGGGAGGTGGGAGAGGTCAGCCCGCAGCAGGCAGACACCACAAAGCTCTGTTAGAAGAGCTGATTTAACAAAAGGTGTTGAATACAGTTGTGATCGCTCCCCATCCTCTCTCTGCAAGGAGTCAGAGCCACCAGCCCCAGCACAGAGACATCCCACCCTGCTACGGCTTGGGCTACCAGCCCAAACCAGAGCTGGCCTAGAGATAAATCCTGCGTATTTTATACCTAATACCCACGGTGCTAACAGGTATTATACTAAGCTATAACCAACCACCTAGTCTGATGTAAAAAGTGGAAGTGTTGAAGCCCAAACAGCCCCCCCGAGCTGAAGCTGCTCCGTGTGTAGTCATGAGTGAAATACGTGCGCTCCTTAATGGAGGATGGAGCTTAAACATCATAAAACACGTCTCTCCTCAATATATCGTTATCTTCCTTTGTGTGGGGGGGCAAGATAACGGGTTGTGGAGACAGCTGTCTGGCATCGCCACCTGATGTGTGACCTGGCTCGTAAATTAGAGAAGCAGGGAAACTCCCTTGGCTTCTCCCTCGAGCCCTGGCCAGGCTTTGGGTGGAATCCAGCAGGAGAACAAAACCAGATATTTTTCCCTCAAAACAAAGGTGCCAGCTATTGTGGGGGGCTGATTTTTGGTGTGTTAAGGCCGGACCCACTCGCAGCGACTTTGGATGCCTCGGCTACGGGGGGCTGCAGCGCGTGGGGCTCCCCCCTTGCTGGGAAAGGTTCCCCAAACCCTCGCTGTAACCGGGGCTGGGGGTGGGAACGGGTGCGGGGGGGTGGATCTGCCTCTGTCACTGTTCGCTCTCTCTCACGTAGCAGCGATCTGATGCATCACCCTCGATTTCCCTATCCAAGTGCATTATTCTGTCTTTTCTCACTGCGTGTTTCCTGTGTTACTCTGCCACGTTATTTAGTTATCCCCAGGAAAACACGCCTGCCCTTTTCCCTCTGGTGTCGGAGGTTAATTAGCATCCTTAATCAGGCAAATCCCCCCGAAGAAGCGAACGCAGCCTTACGTGGTCGGAGTCGAGCTGGCAGTGCCGGGCCAGCGCGTGGAGCAGGCGCTGGATGTAGGCTTTGAAGATGCTGTGGATGACAGCATCGTCTGTCTTGTACAGGTGCTCCCCCAGTCTGTACCAGAAGTTAAATGAAATTTCTACCACCTGTTTAAGAAAGAAAAAAAATTAGATATTTTTTTTTTTTCCCCCCCGCTTCAGGAATTCATCACGCCCCCACCTTTGCCCATCTCCTCTGCTGCTTGTCACTTAATAAAGGATCTGAAACCCGCTGCGTGAATCTGAAAACCTGTCGCCAGCCCTCAGAACTAAAAGCATTTTTCCTGGCAAAATTAAGACCGCAGCGTTAAGAATCGTCTCTCGCTCCAAAGCGTGGCTTCGTTTTGCATCACTCACAGCTGCCAGCGATAAGTTTTTATCTCCCCGACCCCAGACAGGAACAAACATCTCCAAGAAAACAGCTCAGGCTGGAAGGGGACGTCACTCCAAAGCCTACAGGCTCTTTGTAAGCATGGTTATAAATAAAAAAAAAAAAAAAAAAAAGAGCATGGATTTTTGTAGGGGCAGCTGCAGAGCTTCAGTCCTCCTCAGCATCGCTGGCACAAGGTGGTGCCCAAAGGGGACTGAGCTTACAAGACCTGGAGAGGGGACTGAAAGAGGCACCGGGGCCCAGGCGAGCGCTGCGGAGAGCCAGTGAAGCACAAACTGCTCCACAATTTCGGCAGCAAACAAGCCCGCACAGGTCGCACGGCAGCAGCCATTGTTTCTGAGCTACCTCGCCCACCTGCTTAGGCCTGAACTACCTCTGGGGCGCTGAAAAGCCTCTGGAAATCCCAGACCCAGATTCCCCATCCTCCCCAGTGGGACTTCAAGGAGGGATGGGGAGCGCACCCCAGCAAATCCCAGCTGGCACCTGCCTGCTCCCCGCGGCTGACTCAGCGGGACGACCCCTCTGCGAAGGAACTGAACTCGGACTAAGTCAGCCGGGGGCCAGCTACTGGGATTTAATTAAGTTTTGGCTGAATAAAAGGGGATTGACTCTTAAATACGGTGTTCTGTGAGGCGGGACGGTTGGGGAGCTTTGCTGCAAAACGTTTCACCGACTTAAGAGGGCAAAGTCGCGCCGCAATCCCTGCAAAGCTTGACTTAAGTTGGAAAGAAAATAAGGGAGGCTTTCAGAGCTGTACTTGCAGTCCCACACATCCCGGAGGCTGGGAAAGGGAAGCGGAGCCAAGTTTCTGCCTCACAAAGGCAGAGCGGGCGTTTCGCAGCCAGCAGCTCGGAGGAACTGAAGCCTCCCGACCACGTGGCAGCATAAAACAAAGGTTTTTCCACTGAGTCAACTCTGGCCCAGCGAGGTTTGGCGACGGGGGTGAGGAGAAAAGGGCGGGTGGACCCTCACGCACCTCGTACTGCGGGTGACCGGCACAAATCAGCAGCAGCTCCAGCGTCCGCAGGTCACCCAGCCCTTGGCCCGGCGTGCACACGATTTTATCTAGGAACGTCTCGCACAGCTCGGTGAAAACACGGCAATAATTGAGCACCCTGGGGAAGAAAAACAGAGGGCACAAGTCAGAAAGATCCACCCAGTGTGGGAGAGAATCGGGTCGGGCAGGTAACATGCCCCGGAGCTTCGTCTCAGATCAAAAAAATACCAACTTCTGCTTCAACTTTCCAGCAGCGGTTAGGAAACAGCGAAACAGGGGAACTTTGTTCCGAAGGAGGTGAAAGCACTGAGTTCCGATAAGCAAATCTTAAGGAAACTTTTGTTATGACCTGCAGTATCAGAGAAAACTTCTCCAAAATTGCAGCACGGGGCGACGAGGCTCAGGACGTCCGGGAGGGAGCGGCGGGAGGCTCCCCAGCACCCGGGAGGTGCCACGTTCCAGAAGACAAATCTACCAAGTGACCCCAAAAATAAACGCAGCATGTCCCGCTGCCCACGCGGAGGACGGCGCTGCCTGACGCTGCAGCTGCTCTTACGAGAATTTAGTGGCTGGGAGGAACATGGGCTCTGCTTGAAGACAGCAGAACCAGGCGGAGGAGTGAAGGGCCTGCAGGCAGAGCACGGGGTGATGGAGCACGCGCCCGTGAGACGACCTCAGCCGAGGGATTTGGGGGAAAGCTCCGAGATAAACCACTAGTCCCGGGATTTGGTTTTAGTATTCCTCTTCTGGAGAGGTTTAGGGAATCATGAGCTGGCAGCATGCCTGGGGGGCCAAGGAAGCCAACGGCCTCCTGGCTTGTGTCAGCACTGGTGTGGCTAGCAGGGACAGGGAGGTGACAGTCCCCTGTGCTCGGCACTGGGGAGGCCACACCTGGAGGGTTGTGTCCAGGTTTGGGCAGCTCAATCCCAGAGAGATCTGGAGTGGCTGGAGCGAGGGCAGAGGAGGGCAGCGAGGCTGGGGAAGGGCTGGAGAATCAATGCTGTGAGGAGCCAGGGAAGGAGCTGGGAGTGTTCAGGGTGAGGAGGAGGAGGCTGAGGGGAGCCCTCATCCCTCTCTGCAGCTCCTGACAGGACATTGCAGAGAGGCTGGGGCTGGGCTCTGCTCCCAGGGGATCAGGGACAGGACAAGAGGGAACGGCTGGAAACTGCCCCAGGGGAGGGTCAGGCTGGGCAGGAGGAGAAAATGTTTCCCAGCAAGAGTGGTGCGAGAGTGGAAGAGGCTGCCCAGGGAGGGGGGAGTCCCCATCCCTGGGGGGGGTTCAGGGCCGTTGGGATGAGCTGTGGGGGATGTGGGGTAGGGGAGAACTTTGTAGAGTCGGGCTGAGGGTTGGACTCGCTGACCCCGAGGGGCTTTTCCAGCCTGAATGACTCCAGGATTCTGTGAAATCCTAAAGCAACATGCACCCAGAGATGTGCTGCAAAGACACCCTGAAGTCTGACTTAAAGACAGAGGAGTGAGATTCTCCCCCATGTGAGAATTATTATGATTTTTTTTAAACCCCTTCAGACAACCGGCGCATCTCCAGCAGCAGATGGAACATGGCGAGACATCGCCAGCCCCGTCAGCCGGGTCTTTACCCTCTACCTGGGAGCACTGAGGGGAACCCATCCCCGAGAGAGACTGGAGAGAAAACATCTTAATTACACCTAATTCCTGCAGACGAACGCTCCCACATCTTTCAGGAGCGAAGGGACGCTACCGCAGGGACAGCCTTAGCAAGCAGAGAGGGTGTTATAACAAACTTCAACGTGGCTGCCAACTGAAGACTAATTCTGTTCAACGGGAGGATAAGTAGGAACAGATGCCACTACACTTTTCGATTTTGGAAGGGCTCGCTTGGAGGAGGCAACTACTCGTTTCGCTGGCGGAAATCTTGTTTAACACGGCAGAGGTTCAGAATTTCCTTAAGTCAAAGGCACGTACGTTGACTGGGCTTCGCACCTCGAGCTGAAACGAGGGCGATTCTTCACCCTCAGTCATCTGGAAAGCCTCAGCGGGGAGCCAAGCGCCTCCAGGCAGCCGGGGAGCAGGACTGGAAAGCAGACAGCTGGGTTTTGCAAGGCGAGATGAGCCGAGATCGAGCAAAATCGCCAGGAGCTAAACCAGTGCCAGCCCTTGCCAAGGACAAAAACAGCGCAGGGATTTTTTTAATTTTTTTTTTTTTTTTCCCAGCTGGAATCAAGAGCTGGTGGAATCGCCGCGCGCTGAGGACGGCGGCACCATTAAAGGTTTGTGGCACAGCGAGAACGCTGTGAAGACTCTTCAGTTTTTAAGATTCTGGCTGAGCGGGAAGGGGGAAGGCGGTTTAGATGCCTCCAGGCTGGAAGGAGCAGGGACTGGCTAATCGCCAGCCCAGGAGCCAAAAATCAGGTGCTGGACATCAGTCCTAGGGCTTCGCCGCTGCTCTGGCTGTTCCCATCGATGGCAACACCGTGCACGGCCACAAAACGCTCGTCTTTGGCAATGGGGACAGCAAATCCAGCCCAGCTAATCCGCCCTTGGCAGCACAAGCGAGTGCTGACATTTTTCATGTGTATTTTCTAAATATTTCTGTGTATTTTTCCAAATACACAGAAGCTGGCAAATTAAATTTAGCCCTTTTCCCTCCAAAAATAGACTGGTCCCACCTAATTCTTATCAGTAACATTTGAAAACAGGAGAAATGGAGCCGAGTTGATCACGGGGTGATGCGGAAGCTGGTTAAACCGGGTTGAACACAGGCCAGGGGAGGGATGACTGGTTGGCTAGTGGTTGGCTAGAGGTTGGGTAGCAGGCTGGGCTGAAGAGGAAATACCAGTTTGGCACTGGGGAGGTTCCAGGTCAACCTCACAACTGATCTTGTCTACGTTCATTAGCGACAGCCACATAAAAAAGGCAGGGTGAGAGTAAACAGAGTTCGCTGATGGAGCTGGGACGCCAGAGCTGTGCCGAAGAACAAAACCCACCTGAGCTGGAGCAGAAAAAGTCGTCAGCTTTTGACAACTCACGGACGGGTTCATCAGTCACGGGATGACCCAAACACAACACCACGAGGCGAGCGGAAAGGTGAGAGATGCCCGGCAAGGCACCACCTGCACCCAAGGGTGCCACGATGCCAACGGGTGGGAGCGAGGTCCCTCCGGGAGCAGCACGAGCCTCGCGGGCCCTCGTGAATTCAGCTGAACTCAGATTTCCAAGGGAACATAAAAGCATCTCAGGACTGAAAGAGCTGGGCTGGCTCACGCTGGCTGCTTCCTACCTACAAATGCACCCAGGAATAAGGCCCAGCTGGGAAGCTCTTGGAGTTAAGAAGATGTTGTCAAAAGAGGCACAAACTGGCCTCAAATCAACCACCAGAGGGTTTCCAACCAGCGCAGCAACGTTTGGTAGCAGCCAACACGCATCAAAACCGGGCTTGAACAGGCTTGAGCAAGGTATGAAGGCGACAGTTCCTTTTAAGTCAAGACTAAGGGGCTGTTGAGCCAACCAGCACACCCAGATCTCGGGAAGAGCCGAGCCACGGAGGGATGGTTGTAGAGAGGAAGCAGTAGGAGCAAAACGTTGCTCCTGAACTCAATATATTAAGGCTGGTAACAGGACACTTTCACAGAACCCCAGCACCATCCGGGTTGGAAAAGCCCTTGCAGCTCCTCCAGCCCCACCATGACCCTCCCCCTGACCGTTCCCAACTCCCCCAGATCCCTCAGCGCTGGCTCAGCCCGACTCTTCAACCCCTCCAGGGATCCCGGGGACTCCCCCCTGCCCTGGGCAGCCCATTCCAACGCCCAACAGCCCCTTCTGCAAAGAAATCCTTCCTAATATCTTCCTTCGCCCACCACAAGGAAGATTAAGCCTAAGTCTACCAAAGCTGGAGCTGAGCACACACACCCAGGGCACTAATCGGTGCACCAAGGGTGAGGAAGCCCATTCGCTCACTCATTTTTGATCAAGAAATCCTTATTTGCCTGAGGGACGTCAGCGTGGAGCCCGCAAACGCCGCGGCTTCCCAAAATAACCCACAAAATCAGAGGCACGGCGGGAGCTCGCTTACTTGTCAAGGTCTTCCCGCGCTACGGCCATGTGATAGGCACTCTCGAGGGTGAGGACGCCCTGGAAAAGCTGCAGGGCCAGGGGAAGGTTAGTCTCCACGTTCTCGATGGCGTAGAGGGCTGAGCACACGCAATCCGAAGCGGCTTCGTGGAGGTTTGAGGACGTCTTGTCTTGTTGCTGCAGGAAACAAGAAGCAGAAGAGGTGGGGGATTGTATGTGAAAGGAGATAGTAATGGATCAAAAAAACAGGTTTTTTGGTGTCCCTGAAGGAGTTTGTAGAGTGTCTGCGTAGCCGTGGCCCCCCACAACTCACTCCTACCAGCCCTGCAAAGCTGGTGCTGCTTCACCCCCCTCAAACGCTTGGTCAAAACTGACCCTCCACAGCGGGACCCCCCCCAGTCTTCCTTGGGAGAGGGAAACACAGGAGGAAAAATGCCAATTAAACCCCACAGCAGTTCAGAAGGAAATAAAACAGAACCCCAGAACCATCCGGGTTGGAAAAGCCCCTGAAGCTCCTCCAGCCCCACCATGACCCTCCCCCTGACCGTTCCCAACTCCCCCAGACCCCTCAGCGCTGGCTCAGCCCGACTCTTCAACCCCTCCAGGGATCCCGGGGACTCCCCCCTGCCCTGGGCAGCCCATTCCAACACCCAACAGCCCCTTCTGCACAGAAATCCTTCCTCAGAGCCAGCCTGACCCTGCCCTGGGCAGCTTGAGGCCATTCCCTCGGGGCCTGGCGCTGGCTCCTTGGCTCCAGAGACTCATCCCCCCTCAGTGGGGAGCCCAGGGCTCAGATCCCTTCCCTGTCCCTGCTGGCCACCCCAGTGCTGACACCAGCCAGGATGCCGTTGCCCTCCTTGGCCCCCTGGGCACATTGCCGGCTCCTGTTCAGCTAAAACCCTGCCCTGCTCATTCCCCCAGCCGGTTCACGGAACATCTCCAGCTGGAAGGGACCCGTGAGGACCACCGAGTCCTCAGTGAGGATGGAGATGAATTTTCTCACAAGCCGGTGTGAAATATTTATCCTTGTGATGTTCTGGGGCTGAGCGAGTGGATTTCAGGCCCCTCCTGGCCGAGGTTCATAGCGGCTGTGCGGGGCTGATTTAACGGGCGGTTTAATGGCTCCCAGGGAGCCCCGAGTAATTAAAGCAGGGGACGAGGCTGGCATACTAAGGAGGAGGAGAGAGCGAGCAGTGAAGCGCGGAAACAAAGGAGCAGTAACTCTGAGGGAGCCTCTGTGCGTCCTCCTCCATGGGGTCTCAACGCATCTGGAAAACAATCCAGGATCCTGCCGGAAGGTGGAAGGGGAGAAAGGCAAAACCGCCCCGTTTACAAGTGGTGTGAACGCAATAAAAAGGTCCCAGAGCCGACAGCTCCAGTCTGGGGGAGAGGGGTTCCTGCTGCAGCCCCCCGCCAGGGCAGCCGGGTGTTGGATATTGTCTGTTCCTTCTCCCCCTGAACGGGAGCCCTCGTCTGCATTCGTCATTAATTAAATCTGTGCCACGGGCTGGATGCAAACGAGGCATCATCCTGTTTAACAACAGGAGGAGGGACAGACAGTTGTGGCGCTGGGTGACAGGGCTGGGCGGTGTCACACAGACACCTCCATCCTCCAGGAATTCCTCGGCTCTGTTCAGCTCCTCACTCTCCCTGTCGCAGCCATGAGGGATATTGTCCTACCCGCCCCCCTGTTTCACCGGCCTCTTCAGCTCTCAGGACAAAAAAAACCCCTTCAATAGTTAATTTTCCAAGGTGAAATTGTCAGAAAAAGACTAAAATAATCTTTTACTGAAGATCTGGAAAGAAAGCAAAGCAAAAAGAAAGCAAAGCAAAAAAACCACTGGGTTTAGTATCGAGCACATGGACTTTCTTCAACAACAGACAACTCTGAAAGGCAAAACGACCCAACATTTAAACCCAGGGGTACAGCAAACTTACTCCAGCAATGCACTGAGCAGATTTATTTCGCTCAGAGCCGCACAGAACAATTGGAGTCGGAGCAAGGACCCAGCACAGCGTGTTTCAGACCAGACCTCTCTTTCAAAGCCCGAGCATGCTCAGAAATACACCCAGCACCTACTCTGGCGGCAGCAGGAACCCACAAGCGGGGCTAGAAAGGGTCATTTCTTGGGTGTTCAATCTTTTATCCTTCTCTATATGTTTCAGTAGAAACGGGACCCGGCTCCTGCTTGAGATAGGGAAGAAATCCGCTCAATACAGGCTGCAAAATGGATGGTTAGTACAGCAGGAAGGAGAACTGATGTAAATAGAGGATTAAACGGCCTTTGAGCTTTTTTTCTCGGCGCAGTGTCTCTGGCGAGTGCAGGAGGGAGCTTCTGGGGATGAAGGAATCGCTGGTGGCCGTCCCGGAGCCCCAGCGCCGCGCCGTCCGTCTGTCCAGCTCCACAGGAAAGCTCTCGGAAGGTTTGGGAGTCTTTCCCCACAGACTCTCTGGGTCAGGAACGAAGAATCCTGAAGGATTCTCTCTCCTCCACACAAGGAGCCAAACAGCCCTGTGCCTATTTTTTTTTTTTCTTCTGAAAATTCCACCACTAGTTTCTGCCCATCGCTCTTGTCCCCAAAACACAAATCCTGAGCTCAAGCCTCCTTGTTGCACTGTGAAGTTTGGGTTTTTTTTTCCCTTTTAAATATTTGCAGTGTGTGGTTGCTAAATTCAGCTGGGTAACGGTGACACGTGGCTCTGTCAGGGAAGGGCAAATTGGGGCAAATCGATCAAAGCAGGGAAGGGCTAAGCACAGAGTAGCGTGTTTCTGAGTTTTTGGAAGAAACACGATTTTTTTATCGTGCAGTTCAACACAACACACAGGCTGAATTAATTTTTGCAGGTCTGGAGGGGGCACGGGAGTTTGAGAAACGGCACAGTCGCTTTTTCACAAATCACTTTGCAACTATCTGGTGTTCTTTGATAGGGAAGCTGGACAAAACAAAGCAGAATTGTCAAATATTGCTGCTAAGGGGCCTCTGCAGATTCTTCACAGCTGTATGAGCCTAGCAACAGGTAAAAGCAAACAGATAAAATTGTGATGTTCGTTCACCCTCACGGCTGCAGGGTGAGTTGGTAACTAGCAGATATTACTGGGCTGTGTACGGCTCGTTTGCACGTCCACGTGCAACGCTGCTAACGGCTGGTTAGCAGATCAGTGTTTTGCACTGAATTTATACTTGAGTTTGTGCTGTTGCATGAATCGGCAGTAAATGGGCTGAGCCAGCGCTGAGGGATCTGGGGGAGTTGGGAAGGGTCAGGGGGAGGGTCATGGTGGGGCTGGAGGAGCTGCAAGGGCTTTTCCAACCCAGAGGATTGTGTGACACGGGCAGAGGAAACCCTCAGTGTGCTTCTGCTGTCCCCCTCAGGCACCAGCCAGTTTTAAGTGTTATTTCTGTGCTGTTTATGAAGCTTCCCGGGGCTAAGAGGAGGCGGGGGAAGCGTGGGAACCGGCTGCTCTGCGAGCGCCCTCCGAGGCGCAGCGCGAGAGGAGGGAGGTGGCTGCAGGCAGCACGGGAAGGTTCCTGCGGGCAGAGAGCTCGCTCCGCCCTGCCTGCCAGTGGAGAGGGACAAGGCGGAGCCCAGACAGCTCCTCTGTGCGACAGAAAGGGTGAGACTCATCCTCCTCACCTGCCCGGGAAGGCAGCCGTGCTCCTCAGAGACTCCCGGGTTTAAAGGCGACGCTGTCCCGGTGCCCAAGGCCCACCACCACCTCATTTCCTAAGAGAAATACTCACCAGCACCTCGAAGAGGAGGGACAGTAACTTGCTGTTTGCCATGAAGGTGCTGTCCAGGACACCCAGGTTGAACCAGCTCCCCAAGCACCGGAAGATTTTGATGAGCATCTTCTCATCGTTGCCCGCTTTCTCCACACACGTCATCTACGGCAGGACAAGGAAGAGCTGCTTAGGAGCCCAACTCCAACGGGGGATTTCACAAGCAAAACAACAGAAACAAGAATCATCCGGGTTGGAAAAGCCCTTGCAGCTCCTCCAGCCCCACCATGACCCCTGTCTCTTAT